CATGTTTAAAGGTATTAAGATTCTTAACATGTTTAAAGGTGTTTAAATTCTGAACATGTTTAAAGGTGTTCAATTCTAACCATGTTTAAAAGTGTTTAAATTCTAAACATGTTTAAAGGTGCTTAAATTCTGAGTGAGTGAGTGAGTATGGTTTTACGCCGCTTTTAGCAATATTCCAGCAATATCACGGCGGGGGACACCAGAAATGGGCTTCACACATTGTACCCATCTCGGGAATCGAACCCGGGTCTTTGGCGGGGCGGTGCATTGTTAAGACCCGAAACGTTCAAATCTGCATACCGTTTAGAATTGAAACAGATTCCTAAACATATGTCTTGTATGTTTTTAAATTCTTAAAACGTTTTTACCGTGTTGATTAAGTAGTGAATTTTATGCTGATCGCCAAAAGAACCGCAAACTATAGAAACATATAGAGAAGTATGTACGTTGAGAAGAGATTTTGACAAAACTGACAAAAATGACAAAACTAACAGTCAGCCAAGTGTTACCACATGGTGTCTTTATTCTTATCAGCATATGCAGCACGTGATTTCCAAACTTTACACGCTAATCCTGCACGAGACAAATGATTCATCTGGATCTATGACGTCACATGTGAAGCGTTCATGAGCGTCGGTTCACACAACATAACCAATCTTAGATCTCTTGAATATAAGTAATCCTTAATATTTACCAACATGTTTGGTATTCACGTTTCCTTTGTCAGTGAGTATACTAATATAATAAGTGATATTTACTAATCTTCAGCATCGTCATGCAATATACCAGGCAAGATAGTAATTTCGCTGTTTACTAACCTTCTGGACGCTGTAACCTGAAGTTCTAAGTAGAATTCACTCGCTCCTTCCCTTCGGCTTGACGCTGTAACCTGAAGTTCTAAGTAGAATTCACTCGCTCCTTCCCTTTGGCTGGACGCTGTAACCTGAAGTTCTAAGTAGAATTCACTCGCTCCTTCCCTTTGGCTTGACGCTGTAACCTGAAGTTCTAAGTAGAATTCACTCGCTCCTTCCCTTTGGCTTGACGCTGTAACCTGAAGTTCTAAGTAGAATTCACTCGCTCCTTCCCTTTGGCTGGCCGCTGTAACCTGAAGTTCTAAGTAGAATTCACTCGCTCCTTCCCTTTGGCTGGATACTTGCTGAAGCGCTCCATCCTCAGCCCATGTTCTTGGACTGTGTTCGGCCCGAGTGGGCTGCGCTCTGTCATCAACTAAAACACAATTAACTGGTACCTTCCTTAAACATGAGTTCTGTCACAGATCTACAATAATGGTAAGCTTGATACATATTGTCAGTGCAAGAGAACAATCTAGATTATCCACAGAAGCAGATTCCATTTGGCGTAAAAGGTAAAATAGCTGTGAAAGTTGTATGAATGGACCACTGAAAATCAGTGATGACACCAGGTGTTCGTGTAAAGGGTAAGCATGTCCTGCTCTACCGGCAGCACCCAGCATCCACACATTTTGCAATTATCATGCAACAGCGGCCTGCAAACAAACCAGATAATCAAGTGATCGATGAACCAGAAAATCCAGTGACACGAAAGTGCATTTACTGATTTTGTTGTAGCAAATATATAATTAAGCGATATGTTCAATTTGAACTACGTCTGTGTTGTGTACAAGTCCAGAGATTTGGCTGCTTTTTGGTAAATAAAAAAGGTTTATGAACGATATTTGTTTTGCAAACAATGTGTTCACCAGCAGAAATATCGACCCAGTTCAAGTAAATAAAGACGGTCAATGCAAGAGAATAACCAGTCTAGATTATACACAGAAACAGATTCCATATGGTGTAAAGGCCCAAATAGCTGTGACCATGACATGGATGGACCACTGAAAATCAGCGATGACACTGCTTGGCTTAGCATTCGATGTAAACCCTGTCAACCCTTTGTTTGTTTGTTTGTTTGTTTGTATATTTGTAAGTTTGTTGTTCAACGCCACCCTCAGCAATATTCCAGCTATATGGCGGCGGTCTGTAACTAATCGAGTCTGGACCAGACAATCCGGTGATTGATTGATATCACCTTCATCGATCCACTCAATTGGGATACGATGATGTGCATCAACAAAGTCAGCGAGCCTGACCACCCGTTCCCGTTAGTCGCCTCTTACGACCAGCATGGGGTGCAGAAGACCAATTCCAACCATAATCTTCACGGATCTTCAATATTTGTTTCGTCTCCTTGTTTCTTCGAAATGGCGAGCGTGACACTGACCAAGGCGGAAGTGAGCAGTGCCACGTGATCCTGGCGCTGAAACTGAAATATGATATCCCTTCTCGCCACCGCTGCCTCATGAAATTTACCAGGCCGGTCAGCCAGCCTAGTGGTTAAAGCGTTCGCTCGTCACGCCGAAGACCCGGGTTCGAATCCCGACATGGGTACAATGTGTGAAGCCCATTTCTGGTGTCCCCCGCCGTGATATTGCTGGAATATTGCTAAAAGCGGCGTAAAACCAAACTCACTCACTCACTCACTCTTACACACAGGTGTCGACGCCAGGGAATATACACTCGCGTGTTATCAACCGAAACAGAAGGCAAAATAGCGGTGAATATTACATGAAAAGATCCTGGATGATCAGTGACACCGGGTGTTCGCGGAAAGGGTAAGCATATCCTGCCTTACCGGAAACCCACCACTCACACATTTTGCATAAAAGAAATTGAGGTCAGTATAATTAAATGAAAAGTGTCGGGCACTAACTACAACACTGTTGTCCTGGAATGCCTGTTACGTGAGTAACACCCAAAATAATCCAGAAAATCCACGACATGAAGATGCCCGATATGCCTTTTTTATTGTAAATCTGAAACTATGTTTTTCTTGTGTGGTCTGTTTATTGATTTCACAATTCAGTTCAGTACGTTCTGATTTCTGTTTTACCCTTTGCGTTTTAATATTCGGAAATCAACCCATACCGTCTACATCGTATGAGTTTGAGTAAAGTTAATTATCCAAATCAAAATTTGATACTTGAATTTAGTAGGTTAATGTTGTTTATTAATTTAATTCAAGTCGTCAATTTATGTCCAATGTGTGTAATACTCATATTCCATTTTTGTCTGGAATGTCCATCTTAAGATGAAGTGCTCATTTTTCACCACAACTTAAAATTGATCCAGTTGTTTACGCTTAAAAATACACAAAACGCTCTTGCTATTTTTGTATTTTTAGCTTGGGATCTCATCTCACAGGACCAAGTACAATATAGATTGTTTTTATGTTGTTTAACGCTGCACTCAGCAATATTCCAGCTATATGACGGCGGTCTGTAACTAATCGAGTCTGGACCAGACAATCCAGTGATTGACATCATGGGCGTCGATCCACGCAATTGGGATACGATGACATGCATCAACCAAGTCAGCGAGCCTGACCATCCGATCCCGTTAGTCGCCTCTTACGACAGGCATGGGTTGCTGAAGACCTGTTCTACCCCGGAGATATATTTATAACGAACACACTTATAACTGACGGGTCTAACGAAATTACTTTTTTGTCCCGTATATTTGCTGTAGTTATGCTGTACATATGCTAATAACGAACTACGGTTATAACGAACTGAAATTAGTGGTCCCTTTGAGTTCGTCATAACCGTAGTTTACTGCATACACCAGTTTGATGGTGGTTAAAATGAATCAAATATAAAATGGTTATTCGATGGTGATGTATTTGATACGGGTATCATGTATTTGATACGGGTATCATAGCTGTGTTTTGTACCTTAAAGGGGAAGTGTACACTCAAAAATCACTTTCTTTCTTTTTCAAAACAAAACGCAATTTTAGAATTAGTTAGTATTTGTGTTTGAAAATATACACTCACTTTTTCCACAGTGAAAGTAGGTAGCTCACAATACTGTGAAAATGATATGCCGTTATGAGGCCTTCGTTTTTCGAGCTAAACAGGCCTGAGTTATCCCCCTTAGGTTATGACGTGTTGATGCCAATTCAACTGGGTCCCTGTCTATTCTCAACGCAAAAGATATCAAGTACCAGTTTGCGGTAAAACAACATGGCCTACGACACACGCCGGCGCAGTGGTGACTCAGCATAACACTATGCTGGCTGGCATCTGAGACGCTAGAATCACACGCCTGTACCTACACCACGTGAAGCGGCTCTAACAAAGCATGTTGACGTCATAATGTTTATCAATTGGCACCAATGACGTCATATTGCAAGGGTAATAAGCCATGGTGTTTTTTGTTATGGAAATAGAACACTTGGTAAATGTGAAATATAAATCGTTTTAACGCAAAACATATGTTGATTAATTGTGATATTTTTATATTTTTGTCTATGACACTACTAGGTTAACACTTTTAATGTGGAAAAAGTACAAGAAAAATAGGTTCATTTCCGTGTGCACTTGCCCTTTAAGCATGCAGAGTTTCGTCGACTGTTTTTAGCCTATGTTTTATGTCAATTTCAGCTTTCATGTGTGTACTTTCGTTTGCCCTGCACTGTATGGGGTGCATCTATGGGAAAGTACAATCAATGGGAAAGTACAATCAATGGGAAAGTACAATCAATGGGAAAGTACAATCCATGGGAAAGTACAATCAATGGGAAAGTACAATCCATGGGAAAGTACAATCAATGGGAAAGTACAATCCATGGGAAAGTACAATCAATGGGAAAGTACAATCAATGGGAAAGTACGAGTTGGCCTGGCATCGAGGTTGTGAATTAAAGCATGCGAAGGTGCAGCTGATTCTAGCAGATTTGATTTATAAAAATCATTTATATGCTCTATTAAAATAGATGATTGGTGCGTGTGACATAATTCCACCACTCACTTAAAAATGACTTTGGAAGAATTATGCATCGTAACTTGGAAACAGTTTTTGGATACGCATTTATACGCGATATTGACAATTTTCGACATTCATACGTTTTAAACCAGAATTGTGGTCAATAACTACATCAACACTGATGGCCCACTTTAACTGAGTCAATACAAAACTATTGTTTTTGCTGAAATAGACACTTTACTCATGTAAGCAAAACATTTATTAACATTATAAAGTGAATCAGTTTTGTCTAACTTCGGTTTTGGTAATATTTCAGCAATATTACGGCAGGCTAGAGCTGGACCATGTAGACCACGTAGAGCAGGACCATGCAGACCACGTTGAACTGGACTACCCCGACCCCCGACCCCTGGACCATGAAGACCACGTAGAGCTGGACCAGGTAGACCATGTAGAGCTGGACCATGTAGACCACGTTGAACTAGACCACGGAGACCATGTAGAGCTGGACCAGGTAGACCATGTTGAACTGGACCACGGAGACCAATTAGTGCTGGAATTTTCGACATTCATACGTTTTAAACCAGAATTGTGGTCAATAACTACATCAACAATGATGGCCCACTTTAACTGAGTCAATACAAAACTATTGTTTATGCTGAAATAGACACTTTACTCATGTAAGCAAAACATTTATTAACATTATAAAGTGAATCAGTTTTGTCTAACTCCGATTTTGGTAATATTTCAGCAATATGACGGCAGGATACACCAGAAATAGGCCTCACGATTCACATTCTTCTTCGGGAGTAGAACTGGACCACGTAGACCACGTTGAACTGGACCACGGAGACCATGTAGAGCTGGACCATGTTGACCACATTGAACTAGACCACGGAGACCACGTAGAGCTGGACCATGTTGACCACGTTGAACTGGACCATGTTGACCACGTAGAGCTGGACCATGTAGACCATGTAGAGCTGGACCATGTTGACCATGTAGAGCTGGACCATGTAGACCATGTTGAACTGGACCACGGAGACCACGTAGAGCTGGACCATGTAGACCATGTTGAACTGGACCACGGAGACCATGTAGAGCTGGACCATGTAGACCATGTTGAACTGGACCACGGAGACCACGTAGAGCTGGACCATGTAGACCATGTTGAACTGGACCACGGAGACCATGTAGAGCTGGACCATGTAGACCATGTTGAACTGGACCACGGAGACCACGTAGAGCTGGACCATGTAGACCATGTTGAACTGGACCACGGAGACCATGTAGAGCTGGACCATGTAGACCATGTTGAACTGGACCACGGAGACCACGTAGAGCTGGACCATGTAGACCATGTTGAACTGGACCACGGAGACCATGTAGAGCTGGACCATGTAGACCATGTAGAGCTGGACCATGTTGACCATGTAGAGCTGGACCATGTAGACCATGTTGAACTGGACCACGGAGACCATGTAGAGCTGGACCATGTAGACCATGTTGAACTGGACCACGGAGACCACGTAGAGCTGGACCATGTAGACCATGTTGAACTGGACCACGGAGACCAATTAGTGCTGGAATTTTCGACATTCATACGTTTTAAACCAGAATTGTGGTCAATAACTATATCAACACTGATGGCCCACTTTAACTGAGTCAATACAAAACTATTGTTTATGCTGAAATAGACACTTTACTCATGTAAGCAAAACATTTATTAACATTATAAAGTGAATCAGTTTTGTCTAACTCCGGTTTTGGTAATATCACAGCAATATGACGGCAGGATACTCCAGAAATAGGCCTCACGATTCGCATTCTTCTTCGGGAGTGGAACTGGACCACGTAGACCATGTTGAACTTGACCAGGTAGACCATGTTGAACTGGACCATGTTGACCACGTAGAGCTGGACCAGGTAGACCATGTTGAACTTATACCCTTGCCTAAAATGTTACACAATTAGTTCAGCTGACATTACGAATAGATTGACATTACAATTGTTGTAGCTTCATTTTCAACAGTATCTGCAGCAGTTTTTCTCACATACTTTGAATATTTTTATCATTAGCCAAGAGTTTGATAACGTAGTACAAGTATTCGGAAGATTTGACTTCATATTCTCTTAGTTTGATATTCTCGGGAGGTATCAGGGTTTTTCAATAGGTCAATGTTTGTGATTGGGGTATGTGTATGTGTTAATTGTCATTACCAAAAAAATCAAACATTTTAGTATAACCTTTTGTTATGGTCGTAACACTCCACAAACATTTTTTTTCATTGAAAATGTGGAATTACTTTGGACAACTATGAACATTTCGCAATTTTAGAAATCCAAGATGGTTGCCAGGATCTCTATAACTATCTTTTTTTTTTTAACTTATCATTTAACAATTGCTTTTTTCCGCTTTAACTGTCTTAGTATCATCCAGACACAAAAGGCAAAGCATTTGCGATGCTTTTTGGAATACTACTGACTTCTATAGGTTAAGTTAAGTTAAGTTGAGTGAGTGAGTGAGTTGGGTTTAACGCTGCTTTTAATATTATTTCAGTTATATCACGGCGTGTCAGGCTAATGTCGGAGGAAAGCCCGAAGTGATGCAGGTTTAAGACGTTTACCACTTCGGTGAAACCCACGAGCACGGTTATGGTGCTGACAAACCTACAAACAAAGTCGGGGCGAACCGGGATTCTAACCCACAATCATAGGTTTCTGGCGTGTACAAGGGACGCAACTCTGCACAGCGAATCGCTGCGCCTTAGACGACTGGGTCCAGGTCCAGACTCGATTATTGACAGACCGCCGTCATATAGCGGGAATATTTCTGGATGCGGCGTTAAACAACAAACAAACAAACAAAACCTATCTGTTGTTTGATGGTGATGGTCGATTTTCCTTTCTCTGTCAGAAGAGATAAAGTGAGTGAGTGAGTATGGTAAAACGCCGCTTTTAGCAATATTCCAGCAATATCACGGCGGGGGTCACCAGAAATAGGCTTCATACATTGTACCCATGTCGGGAATCGAGCCCGGGTCTTCGGCGTGACGGGCGAACGCTTTAACCACTGGGCTACCCGGCCGCCCCAGAAGAGCTTTCTGTATACCATCATATGTAGCCTGCATCGAGGCTTTCGTTGGGCCATAATAAACTTGGCAACCAAACATCTCACAGGACCTCACAAGGTCGACTGACGGCTTCCGGCTTGTGTCTGAGTGGGGTTTTCATGTTAAACTGCGGCATGGTATCTCAGTGGGCTAGCATTATAAATCGACATCAGTCCGGACTGGTACAAGCAGCCACACACACACACACACATACACGTGCATGCACGTCGCTATATAAGTGCAATAATCTTGGACGCGACGTTAAACCCAATTTCACCCCACCTCACCTATGTAATCACACATGTGAGTTTATGGAATACCAGAAGGAATGATCACAGCGTTGGACCTAGACTGTCAGCAACTGAACGCAATGGTTAATGGTGTAGCGTTTCGTTTGTGCCTGTGTGAATCCACATGCATCTGGGTACCAGAGACTGCACTAGTGTGGGCTTCGGGAGATAGTGCGCATGCAATATGATATGTGTCTGCTTCCTCAAGAACTGAACTGAACACTTCCAGTGAGTGAGTGAGTGAGTATGGTTATACGACGCTTTTAGCAATATTCCAGCAATATCACAGCGGGGACACCAGAAATGGGCTTCACACATTGTACCCATGTCGGGAATCGAACCCGGGTCTTCGGCGTGACGGGCGAACGCTTTAACCACTAGCCTACCCGACCGCCCCCTGAACACTTGCAGGTCAAGAAGATCAATACACTAAAGTATCCTGTATCCATCAACCGCAACACATCGGTCATCGGGCAATGTACTCAGGCCAGTCTGGCACCTTTCATTCCGACATGAAACTGGAGTAGATTTGTTCATCGGATTGCTGGTGGATGTCCAATTGCCTTGACATAGAAGTGTTCATCACTTCAAGATTTTTTCATTATGCGTTTATTCCCTCGTTGAACTTACAAGAACGTAAATATATCCAGTGTATAGCAGCTTAGTGATTTAGGTCTAAGACGTTTACCACTTCGGTGAAACCCACGAGCACGGGCATGGTGCTGACAAATCTAGAAACATAATCGGGGCGAACCGGGATTCGAACCCACAACCATAGGTTTCTGGCGTGCCCAAGGGACGCAACTCTGCACAGCGAATCGCGGCGCCTTAGACGACTGGGCCACCCGTGCCCCCCAGTGAAGTTTGTGTGAGTATCAAACCTTGTGTTGTGTTAATATGTGAAAGAATGTCTTGGTAAGTAATTAGGAGCAACGATCGCCAGACCCCTCGGATTTAGCGAAAATGTCTTTTCGGAATTTCTGCACAGATAGGCAAAGTCAAAACTAGGTAAGTTGTCAAAGAAGTTTAATTCAAGCTTCAGGTATATTGATGATCTCATATCACTTAATAACAATCAAATAGCAAATACCCTTCCACTGATTTACCCACCTGGGTCCACTTGCACAAAGCGATCTTAGCGCTAAGATGATCTTAACTCCCATACTTTAACATAGGCTTACAATAGTCTTAGCGCTAAGATCGTTTTGTGCAAGTGGGCCCTGGACTAGAAAGGACACCAGTGAGACTGCCTCAAATGCTTCATATTTAGATCTTTGCATAAAGATTCAATGACAAAAAAACAGTCTCCACAAGACTGTATGGCAAGAAGGATGACTTTCACGTTCCAACAGTAAACTCAAGAAAGTTCAACACGTACAGGTAACGGATGTAGGGTCCCTTAGCACTCCAAAACACAGTCACAACTCATCCTGCAGCTCCATAATTAGCCCACACACAAAAATGTTTCTTATCAAGTCCAGATTTTAAAAGCTGAAACTCTTGGAACTGATGTAAATACATTAGATGAAGTTACAGAAACAGCCGTGGATGATCAACGGAGCAATTAGTCAAGACAATGGGCAGCCCAAGCAGGTCGTTTAATGATTCTCTCAGTGGGTATGAACGCCTATGTTATCCTACACAAATAGTGGCTGGTATAGACAGTGACATCTTTCATTAAATACACGGACGCCTGGTACAACATGATCGAGTTTCCTTTAAAAATGAACTTTTGGAAGTATTTAAAGATGGTGAAGGGAAACTGAGTGAGTGAGTTGGGTTTAACGCCGCTTTTAACAGTATTCCAGTTATATCACGGCGTGTCAGCTTAATGTTGGAGGAAAGCCCGAAGTGATGCAGGTCTCAGACGGTTACCACTTCGGTGAAATCCACGAGCACGGGTATGGTGCTGACAAATCTAGAAACATAATCGGGGCAAAACCGGGATTCGAACCCACAATGATAGGTTTCTGGCGTGCCCAAGGGACGCAACTCTGCACAGCGAATCGCGGCGCCTTAGACGACTGGGCCACCCGTGCCCCCGAAGGGAAAATGGGACAGAGTCTTTATGACATAGTCAAGGAAAGACGCCTGGACACACTGAGGGGATATTTACCTAAACAAGTACAGAAAGGGCATTCTGAATGAGTCGGTGATAGAAAAATCTGCTTCGGATATGTACTAGTGTATGTATTGCCATCAATGATGTCCCTCTGAATCCCTAATATAAAGACAAATGTTTTCATCAAAGGCAATTCTACCCAGAGTGCACCAGGCAACAGCATAGAATTCCTTAGGGATTTATCTAATCATCAATACATTAGAGTAGACAAGCCACTTTAACTGGTACAAGATGCCATCTGTGAATATGCAAAACAGTATGGTGTCCATGTCAGCCATTTTTATTTATTGAGGCATTTGGAAGGCTACAACCCCACACTGAGAGTGAACATTTTCAGTAGGACAACGTGCGATGTTGCGAGTGGGTTCTACACAAAGGGTTCCTACATTGTGCACTCGAGTGAGTGAGTGAGGTTTTACGCCGCTTATGGCAATATTCCAGCAATATCACGGCGGGGGACACCAGAAATGGGCTTCACACATTATAGCCATGTCGGGAATCGAACCCGGGTCTTCGGCGGGACTAGCTAACGCTTTAACCACTAGGCTACCCGACCGCCCCTTGTGCACTCGAACAGACAACTTATGATAATGTGTATGTTCTTCCTAGTAAGCATTGTGCTGAGGATGTCCTTGTACCTGCATGTAATTTTGTTGGAAAAAATACATTGTTCCAGAAAATGCTTGTAGAAAATAAATATGCTTCAGATTCTTTTAAAGGAATTGTCTGCCACAAAAAAATACATTTTGCAAGGTGTTTAAAAAATATATATATAATTTAGGCTCAAAGTATTAATAAATGAAGGGTTCATGGATGGCCCGCTGTGCAGAATTGCGTCCCTTTGGCACACCAGGAACCTATGATTGTGGGTTCGAATTCCGGTTCGCCCCGATTATGTTTCTAGGTTTGTCAGCACCATACTTGTTCTCATATATGTGATATAACTGGAATAATGTTAAAAGCGGCGTTAAAAAACCCAACTCACTTACTCACTAATGTTCAACAATCTGGTTATGCAACTGCAGCTGAACAAATGTCTAGTCACCATACTGAATCCCAGCCCCCTTCAGATTCTACAGGTCGCGATATTGTGATTCAAATTATCTGAAATTCACTGACGAAAGCATTTATTCGCGAAAAGGGACACCCGGTAGCACCCGCTAATAAAAAACCCCATTCCTTACCCCTAATGGAATCTTTTTGTCGGATAATCGAGACTGGCTGGTGTCTAGTGTTGACATTTTATATTTACAAAAGTAAAAGCCAGGAAGTAAATTTCACAATATGGGATACCATCGCCTAGCAAGTTGACTTTTGTCAGCCATCATTTTCGCACCCGGTTTTCCACAATTATTACACAATCACGCGACGAGTGAGTGAGTGAGTATGGTTTTACGCCTCTTTAACCAATATTCCAACAATATCACGGCGGGGGGACACCGGAAAATGGGCTTCACACATTGCACCCATGTGGGGATCGGACCAGGGTCTTCGGTGACGAGCCAACGCTTTAACCACTATGCTACCCAACCGCCCCAAGTCACGCGACGAAAGTTGGTTATTATCGAATAATTGTTGGAATTATCATTGACCTAGCTACACTCTTCAAAAAAAGAAACGCATAGGTGTTTTGAGAATTCCAATTAAATTTTTATTTACCAGCAATCGTCATAAAGACAATTCTTATGTTTGATTCCAGTTAATCATGTCATGTTTGTTGCGCCTTCCGCGCAAACACATCTCAAAATGTTTTTTGTAAACGTTTATCAGCAAAAATGCAAAGGATGCACGGAAATTGCTTTCAAAAAAGGTTTCGGCACAATGCACGTGCAAAATGTTGGAAACAAGACTAGAGACATTGACTATAAAATACCGTACAAAATTCATCAGTTCATTACGAATTTTCTGACGTGAACGGAAATCGAAAAATGCCAAGATTAACTGCAGCTGACCGAAATATCGTTGGTCGTTTGGAAGCAGGGGAGTCCCAGTCTGCCGTTGTTAGACTCTTCAACGATCACCGAAGCACCATATCTCGACTATGTAATCGATATACCCGCACTAATTCGACTCAAGATCATCCCAGAAGTGGAAGACCAAGAGTGACCACCCCTGCTCAGGGTCGGTACATCCGGTTGCATCACCTTCAGAATCGATTTGCTACAGCAACGGACACTGCAGGACAAGTGCCT